CGCTAGGCATGTCGTGCGTTGCATTCTGTTGTCTCTCTTTCCCTCTCTTCCTTGTTTGCATCTTCTCGAAAACCTCATCGTTGCTCACACCCTCGGTCCATGATATCCTTAGCATCCTTTTGTAGAACCATACCCCCGTTGCCTCGAGTCTCTTCTTCATCTTTGAGGAGACCGTTCAACATTTGCTGCCTTAAAGAAGGACGGACGTCATGTATCCGCTTAGTACTCGTTTCTTTGTTACCAAAGAAATCCTCCTGTCTCGTAATACTCTGCCTAACTTTTGGAATGCGTCTTTGGTAATCCCAATACGTCTTCGGATCTCAGCGTTGCACTTATCGTCCTCTGTCAGAATACTTCCCCCCGCCTGCTTGATTTGACTGCCCCCCCCAGCTTGTAAATCGCATTTTGGGCTCCTCTTTTGACTGATGACCATACATTCTGTCAACCACTTGCTTAAGCCTGCTAAGTATGTCATGAATTGCTTTCCCTTATCTCTCTTTCCCTCTATTCGCCCTGTGAGTATCAGATGCTCCAAGCCCTCTTTTCTCATCACTTATCCCAGAAATTTCAGCTGCCTCTTCCTGATGTTAAGTATAAGCTTCCTCCTTGTTTGCATCTTCTCCAAAACCTCATCGTTGCTCACACGCTCGGTCTATGATATCCTTAGCATCCTTCTGTAGAACCATACCCCCGTTGCTTCGAGTCTCTTCTTCATATTTGAGGAGACCGTCCAACATTTGTTGCTGTATAGGAGGACAGATGTCACGTAGCAGTTCAGTACTATTTTCTTTGTTACCAAAGAAATCCTCCTCTCTCGTAATACTCTGCCTAGCTTTTGGAATGCGTCTTTGGCCATCCCAATACGTCTTCGGATCTCAGTGTCGTACTTACCGTCCTCTGTCAAAACACTTCCCAGATATTTAAACACCTGCTTGATTTTAGTGTCCCCGACCTGTAAATATCATTTCAGGCTCATTCTTTTACTGATGACCATGAATTCTACTTGTTATTTATGATCGGTCACGTCTTTTCCAGCAGTACAATAGTCAAGAATTTACACTATTTACATTATTCGGACTATTGTCCTCAAAACGTTTCGGTCGATGTACGCTCGGGCCTTCTTCACGTTTTTGGAATGTCGAACTGAACCCTTTATTTCGTTCGCTGGGGTAGACTTTTCTAGTTCCACGTGCCATGTTTAATCGATGTTAGTTATCAGTTATCTCCTGCTAATTCCCCTCTCCAAGTTCTCCACTGCCTTAACCAGGTATTGAACTCACAACTCTTTGGGTCCTGTCACTGGATCTAACCAACGCCTTTATTCACTGTGCCATGTGTCCTTAAGAAGGCCGGATCGTACATAGGCCGAAACGTTTTGATAAATATTGCAATAAAGATGAGGACGATAGTCCGAATAATTTAAATATGTACATCTCAGAAATATAGACAGATACAGTCAAGAATTTGTTATTTATTTATTTATTTATTTATTATTATTATTATTATTTAAAATCTAAATCTGGTTTAATTACTTTGGACTACAATCAGTCATAAGGCGGTATGTGAGTGGCTGAGAAAAATACATAAAAGTTAATGCATTCAAAAATAATAATAAAAACAAGTGAAAACTCACCGCGTTACATCTCTCCCACATATATATGTTTTTTGCTTCTTCTATCCAAAAGAAAGGCTATAAATTCAAGAAACAAGACAGCAAGCAAACCAAATGAAGGTATGTGCCTTGGACAGTTTAAACAGTGATGTCTTAGACAAACATTTAACCAGCAACTTGCTTTCATAAATATTTTTCGTCAGATTTAGCAATAAACAAATCGACTGAAAAAACATACAAAAAAAAAACACGTGTCGTTTGGATTATATTCCCTTTCTCTTGAAAAAACAATACATACAGCAAACCACTGAGAGGAATAAGGACAAAAGGAAAACGATTCTTTACCAACGCGTTTCGTCCTCTGACGGACTTTACCAAGGCAAATGTAAGGATTTATTTTGCAACATATTTATAGACAGAAGTAAAAACATTATCAAGTTTTCAAAATGTTTAAATTTACGAACGCTTAAAAATATTCTTAAAACTAACTGTGAAAATCAAGATAAATTATGGAGTGTAATTTGGAGATTAATATATGAAAAAGAGTAAATGTTGGTATTGTTACTGGTGGAATTTTTTAATGGTATATATATATATATATATATATATATATATATATATATATATATATATATATATATATATATTACTTTTTGTTATTAATGTATTATTGAGTATATTATTTTAATTTGATGAAATGATTATGTATTTATTTTTAAATAATATCAGATTTTGATTTAACCGTTTTCTTTAACTTAAAAAAAAAACTGATGATATATGTTGACTTGGGTAAGGAGTATATCTTTTAGGAAAGGAGATATTTAATAAAAATCCGCGGCGCAGATATACATTTTGGAAAAATTCAATAGCAACGCTTTCAAGAACTTTCCGTATAAGGTATTTTCACTTTTTAATAAGTGCGCTAATCTTTCCGGAAGTCCTACGTGACTGAACGGTCAGGCACGTTAGATTCAATGATGGTTTCCCATAGGGAATAACGGTTCAAATTCTGCCGGAGGATGCATATCTTTCCATTCTCTTTGTTTACGTTAGGATATGATGCAGAACAGATATGAATGTTTCGGCAAAGAAGCGTCTGTTCAAAAAGCACTATTCTGGCGTGTATCACGTATGGCACATAACTAACTGTGACCATTAGTCCTACGTGTCCGAGCGATTAGGCACGTCAGATCCAATGACGGTTCCCCATAGGAGATGCAGGTTCGAATCCTACCGGAGGACGCATGTTTTTCTGACAAGTTTTCTCGAATATTCAGGCCAGTAGATGAAGTTGGATAAAAAAATACTGCTTAATTAAAAAAAAAAAAAAGAAAAAAAGTTTCTTCTCGAATATGAGTAACGTTTAAAAAAATTAAATTAAAAATAAAAATGTCAGATTTAATCAATTTCCTAAAAATAATTTTTTATGTGTGATACACGCGTAGTCGATCATGTATCTTTCGATACATGACTGACGAGGCAGATTTTTTCCGCAGTAGGTTGCCACTTCTTTCTGCGGTAGACCAGTTGTCATCCAAGGCTATAGAAACCGTCTGTCATAGTTGGGGCGGGGGGAGAAGAAGAGGATTCATACCTTTCCCTTGGGTATTAGCGCGCAAGTAAATGCAATAGATTTGAGTGGAATTCGAACTCGACTCGCTGATTCCTCAATCCGGGTCGTTATCCAATACTCCACCGTACCGAAGAGGAGTATCCATCAAAAATAATATTTAAACAATGTAAATTGAAATTATCAATATGTCAGATCCGTTTCCTAAAAATCTATGTCTGTATTTTTTTTCTTTTATCCACAGACCAAGGAATTCCATTTCCCCGTGCCCACAAGGAAAGAAGTCTAACAGAGAATATTCAGAGGAAAACAGCAAGTCAAAAGGTACAAATAAACATTTTGGTCTAATGATCTATCATCATCATCATACTTATTATAAAACCCAGGTTGTGTGTGTGTGTGGGTGTGTGTGTGTGTACGTTTATACATTGGATCGTATTTCCTACATTTTTCAACCGATTTCAACAAAAATTCACAGGACTACGTAAAATTACCGTGCGGTGGTTCTGACAGCGCCAAAAATGGGAAAACACAATTGTTTTTGCATGAAATTAATTTGAAAACACGATTAAGTCGCCAGAATGAAAGGGGGACAACTCATATCGAGTTATATTTATTATAAAACGCAGGTTGTTTGTGTGTGTGTGTGTGTGTGTGTGTGTGTGTGTGTGTGTGTGTGTGTGTTCGTTTATATATGGATCGGATTTGTTGTTCGTTTATATATGGATCGGATTTCCTACATTTTTTCAACCGATTTCAACAAAACTTCACTTTTTTTGGCAGGTAGTGTTTCTTATTGTCTTGCACACTTTTTTCTTTATCTTTACATTCAGAATGCTTTAAAAATTCTATTTACAAGACAATTGTTTATAATAAAATTCTATTCAATCGGTCGACTCATAGCGATTGAAAACAATGTTTTTGTTTGAGTTTGGGTTTGACCAATTCGTAAAAAAAAAAAAAAAAAAAAAAAACAAAACAAAACAAAAAAAAACTAATTAAGACATGCGTGTCCGTCAACCTTAAACATTAATCTTTGTCAATTTTATTTTTCAGTTTTTATGATGGTCGATACTTGATCTATCTCTTACTGTTACATCCCCGGGCAACGCCGGGCTCTACTGCTATTCATCATTATTATTATTATTATTATTCGCTGCGTCCCTTCAAGACATAGAATATCATGGCTCTTCACAACTTTGTATTTCCTGTGGCCCTTAGATCTCATTTTACATTTGCTAAGGTCCTCGCCCCACATTCCGCCATCTATTTACTCAAGCTCGTCAGGTAGTTGGCCCACTATCTTTCCCTATCTCTCTCTATGTCCTGTCAGTGTTAAGTTTGCCAAGCCCCTTTCCTCATTATGCGTTCAATAATTTCAGCTGTCTTTTCTTGTTTCTGATCAGAAGTGTTTTTCTTTTGTTTTGTGTTGTTGCTATTTTCTCGAAGATTTCCTTGTTTCTTGCACGCATCGTCTGAGGAATTCTCAGTATCCTTCCGTAGAACCACATTTCAGTTGCCTCCAGTTTTTCAAAATATTTGAAAAGGATGTGTACCTGGCACTAATTAAATTGCCTGGTCGATTCATAAAATATATGTTGGAAATATTTTTTGTGCATTAGCATTCTTGATCTTGTGACATTAGTCGGAATTAAAAAAAATGTTTTATCATATTGATACAGAGTAGGATTATTCCCTGAGTATTTACAGAGTTATTGAACATACCTTTTATTTACAAATGTCAAGTTTGAAAGTGTGGTAACATCAGTTATACCTGAATTTTATTTAAATTATCTGATTTTTTTAACCTTTATGCACATTTCTAAATATTCAAGCAACAAAATTATGATGAAGAAAGAAAAAAAGAAAGAAAGAAAGAAAGAAAGAAAAAGGGGAAATCTTTCAATATATAAGTGGACAAGAAAGAAAGAAAGAAAGAAAGAAAGAAAGAAAGTAAGTAAGAAAGAAAGAAAAAGGGGAAATCTTTCAATATGTAAGTGGACAAGAAAGAAAGAAAGAAAGAAGAAAAAGGGGAAATCTTTCAATATATAAGTGGACAAGAAAGAAAGAAAGAAAGAAAGAAAGAAAGAAAGAAAGAAAAAGGGGAAATCTTTCAATAGATAAGTGGACAAGAAAGAAAGAAAGAAGTGCTGAAAGAAAGAAGAAAAAGAAAGAAAGAAAGAAAGAAAGAAGAAAAAGAAAGAAAGAAAGGTGTGCTGAAAGAAAGAAGAAAAAGAAAGAAAGAAAGAAAAAGAAAGAAAGAAAGAAAGAAAGAAAGGTGTGCTGAAAGAAAGAAGAAAAAGAAAGAAAGAAGCAAGGTATTGAAAGAATGAAAGAAGTTATTGAAAGAAAAAGAAAGAAAAAATGAATAAAAAAAGAAAAGGTTGTTTAAAGAGAGGGAATAGTGGAAGAAGAATAAAGAAAGCAAAAGGAGACAGTCGAAGAGATAAAAAGAATGAGAAAAAGAAAATAGTTCAAAGAAAGAAAGAAAGAACAGAAAATGAGGTGAAAAAAAAGAAAGAAACAAATATAAATAGACAAAGAAAGAAATATCAGATAATCCTAATATGAAGTGAAGTGATTACCCTATTTTTTCGGCTTACAAGACGCACTTTTTTTCCGAAAAAATACCCTGAAAAATACGTCTGCGTCTTCCAAGACGAATATAAGGCAACGCCCAGGCTCAAGTAAGCTTGGACGGTCACCTAATTGGCTTGACTGATAGGGACGTGGATTTCTATGTCGAGTCATTACACTATGTTAGCTATCTACCTAATTCAATTTTTTATAATGTGTAACCTCAGTACTTAGCTTTTACAAGTATTTCCAAGACCATAAGCCTTCCTGGAGCCGAGCCACAAGCTTAAGCATGCTCTGTTTAGTAGCAGCGGAGGAACCTTTCTGTTCTTGACTAGTATGTCATTGCCATAGAAAAAAAAATCAGACAAGTTATTAATGCAAACGTGACGCCAATATGCGATGGACACATGGTGAATGTGCTGTTGTATGAGAATGACTTTTTTCCTTAGAAATTCTTTTCCAATATTAGAGTTTCATCTTTCAAACTGCAGCGTCTTGTAAGCCGGAAAATACGGTATATCTGCATTTTATTTTAATTTTATGAATTTTTTTTAACCTTTTTTTACTTTTTAAAAAATTTTAAATTTTTTCGGTATTGGACTTTTTTTTTCGGAAGCACATGCACAAACATTTAAGATTCATAATTATTTATCTTAAATGAAGAATAAACAGATACATAATTTTATTAATGTATGTAAAATTTCGTTCTTTAATTAGAAAATGTATATAACCATTTTTTCTTTATTTAAAAAAAGAAATAATTTTGTAAATCCAGGGCTGGCGCGTACTACCCCCGAAACACCCGATCAATGGATGGAGTCTGATTGGTGACCCTCGCTATCTTATCAACATTTACTTTTTTCTACCTACATTTATATACGTTAGAAATTAATTTAAGAACAACTGACTATTAAAGGAAGAAAAATTTTCGCGGATTTTGACGTCGTTCTGAAGCCTTTTTGGTTCGTCCAAATCCGGGAATTTGTTTTGCTTATGCAAAGTCTTGATAAAAAAAAAAGCGCTATATAAAATGCATAATTTTTTTGTTCATAATTTTGATTGAATGTGGAATCTGTTCAAATTCTTCAATACTTTAAAAAGAAAAAATCATAATTTGATCTTAAAAATTGGCGTAAAACATTGTTGATTTATTTAAAATGGAAAGATCTATTATGACATGTCTCTAATTTGTATTTAGATGCATTGCATCTATTTTCAATTTTTCTAGATGAATTGCTCACTTATATTGCATATTATCCATTACTGTACATAATTAGTTTCAAATAAAATGTGAATAGTGGAGCATGAATCTCTTGCATATGAAAATTGAGATGTCCTAGAGGGGGGGGGCGTATCATAGATTCAGGGTGGGGACACGAGACCCTTTTACCAGCCCTGGCTGTGACAATGCTACTGAGTACTGACGGAAGGTTAAAAATAATAGTATACAAAACGATAGAAAAAAAATATAGAATGATCTATTATGACATGTCTCTAATTTGTATTTAGATACATTGCATTTATTTTCAATTTTTCTAGTTGATTTGTTTATTTACATTGCATATGACCCGTTATTGTTCATAATTAAGTCACAATAAAATGTGTATTCTATATGAATATTACCTTATGAAAATTGAGATGCAGTAATGTAGGGGGGGGACCCGTATCATAATTCGCGAAGGGGCATTATCATGGATTCGGCGGTGGGGAGCATGAGACCCGTGCGCCTGCCCTTTTCTTGATAAGAGATTAGCCGAAAGCGCTCGGAACCACAGACCATGTGAAAAGTTTTTACACAGTCTCTCCAGAAAAGAAATCACTTGTACGAATGCAATAAAAATATAATAAAAGTTTAAACGCATTGCCTTGTCAGCCGTCTTAAATGAAACCTGTGTAAAAAAAAGATTGCTGCCCAAACACACACACACACACACATATATATATATATATATATATATATATATATATATATATATATATATATATATATAAAAATTGATATGAATACTACCTTATGAATATTGAGGTGTGGTAGAGTGGGAATGCCCGTATTATATATTCAAGGTGGGGACCACAAGACCTTTGCACCGACCCTGTCAGTAAACCCCTGAGATAAAAACAAAAAAGTACGCAAAACTGTTAAGTCCAACAATTCTTCCAATAGAAGTCAGAGATTGACATTGTATCAATATTATAAACAGGGCTTCCCTTTTATATCTCAATACTATAAACAGGTCTTCTCTTTTCTATATCAATACTATAAACAGGTCTTCTCCTTCCTATATCAATACTATAAACAGGTCTTCTCCTTCCTATATCAATACTATAAACAGGTCTTCTCTTTTCTATATCAATATTATAAACAGGGCTTCTCTTTACTATATCAATATTATAAGCAGGTCTTTCTTTTCCTATATCAATATTATAAACAGGGTTTCACTTCTATATCAATATATTAAACAGGTCTTTCTTTTTCTATATCAATATTATAAACAGGACTTTCTTTTTCTATATTAACATTATAAACAGGTCTTCTCTTTTCTATATCAATATTATAAGCAGGTCTTCCTTTTCTATGTCAATATTATAAACAAGCCTTTTCTTTTCTATATCAATATTATAAACAGGGCTTCTCTTTACTATATCAATATAAAAAATCATTTTAAAAAAATATAATTTTATTCTGACAAGTGTTCTGGCCTAAGGAAGCTCTAAAATGGCTAATGTGTAAAAATTATTTCAAAAGAAATTTCCCTCCACCTTTTTTAATGAGTGGACCAATCAATTTAAGTAGTACCCTGTGTCTTATATCTAAATAAACAAAAAAATGTTTCAACTATTTCAATATACCGGATATTACATTGTTGTTACTGGCTAGTGATGATTTATTAAAATACTTACTGTAAAGCCAATGGGCGTGGTTACAAGTTTAACTGTATGGTAATTAATAAAATATTTAACTGTAAAATAATTTAAGATTAGTATTTTTATCAGTATATTTTCCTTCAACTCAAAGAGGTAGAAGAAAAAGGTATAATTACTTGAACGAATGAAACATACAAACACTTAATTAAAAAAGAAAATAGTTCGTTTCTCTAACATTTTTTACTTAGTTGAATTTTAATTAGTAGAATCCAAAACTTAAAATGCATACCTGGCACGTGCTGGGAAAGTTTTTTAAAAAAATATTAAGCCCCAGACACAGCCAGGCCTTCCCACCATACAGTACCTTTTCTTCAGGAGAGTGCTGGGTTTATTATCCGGCGCTTATGACGTCCCTAAAAGGGAAAATGCCAAGATGTCTTGGTCAATTTTTGTACGATAAACGCACTTTAAACGTTGACCTTGTGTCACATTGGATAGCAAAGTGGGCGCGCAAGAAAAAAAAACTTACCTGGTGCAGGGGTGCCGGAAGTGGAGGAAAAGCTTCTCCCCATTTTAGAGGGAGCACCTGCGACAGCACCCCCCCCCCCTACATTGCAGTAAGAGAGATAGTGTCGTGTAATATTGATGCCAGTGTGACAATGATCGCAGAAACTGGACAAAAATATTTGTCCATGGCCAGTATTCAAACGTATGTGTACGGTGCTCCCCACGTTAAAACAACCTTGTGCCACACCCTGCCTTAGTGTGAAATCCGGGTAAATATGCCTAAAGATTAAGCAGAAAGTAATTTTTTTGTAAATTTTACTGAATTTGAAATTTCCCTAGTTTTATCAGTTTTGGAGTTGATATAAAAAAAAAGAACCAACGGATATATATATATATATATATATATATATATATATATATATATATATATATATATATATATATATATCCGAATGTAATGAGAAAGAAAATAATATATAAATTGTAACGTTCACACCATTAATTCAAAAGATGGCTCAATACAGATAGTAGAGAATTTTTTTTCATATAGACAAAAACAATTTACTACAGTGTAACCCGGATATAAGAGAGTTGTCGGGACCGGAGAAGAAGTCTCTTATATCCGGGTTTCTCTTATATCCGGGTTTGGTCTATTTTGTTTAGGTAAGTATGGCTCTAATTTGGGACCAGAGAAAATCTCTCTTATATCAGGGTTTCTTATATCCAGGTTACACTGTAATTACAAAGATGCAACTTCGTTTCGATGCATTTAGTTGCACTTCGACTGGAGAGAACCAAATTTTTTTTTAAAAATATATATTCATCGCAACACAGAAATTACCATGTTTCGAAATCAAAACCTAAATCTTGAATTAAACTTAAAATTTAAAGTTCAGTTCCATTCTCAAGCGATACAGATTAATAATATCCTTCGAAAAAATGATTTACTCTTTCCATCATACTCTAGTATGTAACGAGCACTGCTTTTAAAAATAAATGTAAAAAAAAATTGGATTATAAATGTGACTGTTCCTTAATATATATATATATATATATATATATATATATATATATTACACGCACACACACACACACACACAAGTATAGGATTGGTGTATAGGGAATAAATTCCAATAACCAACAAATACTATTCTTAAAAGAGTGCTCAATACAGAGTAGAATTATTTATTCGAAAATTATAGCATAAGTATGTTATAAAATCACTACAAAAATAGCCATTTTGTTTCAACACTTCTGGTTTCTTATCAAGTGATGGTGGTGAATGTAGAATTACCAGAAGTGTTGAAACAAAATGGCTATTTTTGTAGTGATTTTATCCCATGTTTATATATTTTATTCGAAGATTATAACACACACACACACACACACATATATATATATATATATATATATATATATATATATATATATATATATATATAGTACTTCCAAATTTTTTCTCTAAAAAAGCATAGCATGAAGAAAATACCTCAAACTTGATAAAAAAAGTTTTATCGAGACAAAAATAAAAAAAGTATTTTTTCATTATTTTATTAAATTTTTAGTAATGAACTTTTTAAAATTGAATTTTTAAAAGTTGTAAAATACAAAAAAAATTGTGTTACAATTTGTTATTTAAACATTTTATATTTAAACTTTGCTTTTTAAGTATCTAACCAGGAAGTGAGTAAGTCTATCTGTAGATACCAGCATCATTTTGTTGCATCGAGTTTGTTTGTTTGATTTTATAACAGTATTTTATTATATTTACTTTTCCAGCAACCGGTCGAAAAGAAACCCAGAGAACACACACGCTTTTACAAAAAGAAAAAAAAATGAAAGAATTTAGAAGACGGATGGAAGAAATGAAACTTTAAAACGAACGAATGGGAAAGAAAAAATAAAGCAGGAGTCGACAGCAGGCGCGTGTTGTATAGGAGAGGAAGAAAGTATAGAACTTTTGAAAGGGAGGAAAAAATAAAGACGATAAAGCAGTGGACGAGAGAGAGAGAGAGAGAGAGAGAGTAAAAGAAAAAAGTGTACAAGTTTAGAATTTAGTACTAAAGTAGCAAGCAT